GGACCTGGTTAAATAAGGATATGTGTACAACGATGTTGTAATCTACTGCATGCACCTAGTTAAACAAGGATATGTGTACAACGATGTTGTAATCTGCTGCATGGACCTGGTTAAATAAGGATATATTTACAACGATGTTGTAATCTGCTGCATGGACCTGGTTAAATAAGGATATGTTCACAACGATGTTGTAATCTGCTGCATGGACCTAGTTAAACAAGGATATATGTACAACAATGTTGTAATCTGCTGCATGGACCTGGTTAAATAAGGATATGTGTACAACAATGTTGTAATTTGCTGCATGGACCTGGTTAAAAAGGGATATGTGTACAAAGACGTTGTAATCTGCTGCATGGACCTGGTTAAATAAGGATATGTGTACAACGACGTTGTAATCTGCTGCATGGACCTGGTTAAATAAGGATATGTGTACAACGACGTTGTAATCTGCTGCATGGACCTGGTTAAATAAGGATATGTTTACAACGATGTTGTAATCTGCTGCATGGACCTGGTTAAATAAGGATATGTTCACAACGATGTTGTAATCTGCTGCATGGACCTAGTTGAACAAGGATATATGTACAACAATGTTGTAATCTGCTGCATGGACCTGGTTAAATAAGGATATGTGTACAACAATGTTGTAATTTGCTGCATGGACCTGGTTAAAAAGGGATATGTGTACAAAGACGTTGTAATCTGCTGCATGGTCCTGGTTAAATAAGGATGTGTGTACAACGACGTTGTAATCTGCTGCATGGACCTGGTTAAATAAGGATATGTTTACAACGATGTTGTAATCTGCTGCATGGACCTGGTTAAATAAGGATATGTTCACAACGATGTTGTAATCTGCTGCATGGACCTAGTTAAACAAGGATATATGTACAACAATGTTGTAATCTGCTGCATGGACCTGGTTAAAAAAGGATATGTGTACAACAATGTTGTAATTTGCTGCATGGACCTGGTTAAAAAGGGATATGTGTACAAAGACGTTGTAATCTGCTGCATGGACCTGGTTAAATAAGGATATGTGTACAACGACGTTGTAATCTGCTGCATGGACCTGGTTAAATAAGGATATGTGTACAACGACGTTGTAATCTGCTGCATTACCCTGGTTAAATAAGGATATGTTTACAACGATGTTGTAATCTGCTGCATGGACCTGGTTAAACAAGGATATGTTTTCAACGATGTTGTACATCTGCTGCATGGACCTGGTTAAACAAGGATATGTGTACAACAATGTTGTAATCTGCTGCATGGACCTGGTTAAATAAGGATATGTGTACCACAATGTTGTAATCTACTGCATGGACCTGGTTAAATAAGGATATGTGTACAACGATGTTGTAATCTACTGCATGGACCTGGTTAAACAAGGATATGTGTACAACCATGTTGTAATCTACTGCATGGACCTGGTTAAACAAGGATATGTGTACAACCATGTTGTAATCTACTGCATGGACCTGGTTAAATAAGGATATGTGTACAACGATGTTGTAATCTACTGCATGGACCTGGTTAAATAAGGATATGTGTTCAACAATGTTGTAATCTACTGCATGGACATGGTTAAACAAAGATATGTGTACAACGATGTTGTAATCTACTGCGTGGACCTGGTTAAACAAGGATATGTTTACAATGATGCTGTAATCTGCTGCATGGACCTGGTTAAACAAAGATATGTTTACAAAGATGCTGTAATCTGCTGCATGGACCTGGTTAAACAAGAAAACGATAGTACGGCGAGAGGCAAACCCAACTGAGGGGCGGCTAATAACGAGGAATATGGTACTGGGTGGGGGCGATTCAAATATATTACGTTGTACTTTTGATTAGTAGGATGGCCTACTTTTTATGGGCACGGCACTTACTTCCCAACTCAACAGTACATGATTTTATTATTAAACACTTAGACGAAACGCCTTGCCCCCCCCCCCCACCCCCCATCCTACCCCACACCCTCTCCAGTTTCTTACCTGATGCCTTCCTTTCCCATTTACGTTTGTCAGTTCCACATCTTTTAAATACTTCTTCACATTTTACATATAATATAATATGTAATTTGCCGTGTGTCTTATCTTTCCAAGTCTACTATACGATAGATCTAAAGCCATGTTTTAAAAAAGAGAAGGGGTGGGGGCTGGGGAGAGCCAGGCAGAAATTTAGACAGATAGATGTCAGCAGATAGAAAGGTAAACAAAATGACAGAGCATGAGGAACAAACAGACAGAAAAACAGCGAGACAAACCCTTACAGACGCTAACATTATAGACAGGCAAAAAAAAAAAAAAAGAACAGAGAATGACGGATAAATAAACAGACAGAATGACGGACAAGCAGACAGACAGAAGGACGGATGGAAAGACAGCAGGTAGACAGACAGAATAACAGACATGGGGACAGATTGTTACAGCCCATTTGAAAACAGCAACATTAGAATTATTCTAAATAAACTCCTATAAAGTGAAACCTGACCTACCTGAATAGTGGAGTAATGTAAACACAAGTAATATAAGTTTATCTTTTGACTAGCACATCAACAATTCACAGTGTTCGTGTGACTGGCAGAGTTAATCAGTTAGTGTTAACAAACACGTATAAAAACGTTTTTGCTCTGGGGTGGTATGGGGAGAATATGATTGACTTGCTGCAGCCCACGGCCGGTGTTCTAAACCAGGCGGTTCCTGGGGTTTACCCAGCCTCTAGGTAATTGGTACCATAGTTACAACTCTGGGGTAAATAGAGGAACATCGCTGTAGCTACAGAGTTGCGAGGCGACACAGGCGGACAGTTTCTTATCATCTGTCCGTACTGGTGGCACTTATGGTTTAAAACCGTGTGCAATGACACTGGTTCACATCTCCCGACTTTACCTTTTTTTTTTTCTGTTTAATTAAAAAAGATTTTATTAGTTTACTCTGTAATGTGAGATACGTACAGGTTGAAACATCGGATTTGATAGGTTTTTATACTGAACCAGTACAGCTCTGAGATTTGGCAGAAGATACCTTGCGTTGATTTCAAGAGGGGTATTAAAAGCCGACCGTTTAGATGACAATGGCAACGAGTGAATGGAAAATTACCTAATAAAATCCAAAACAACCAACAAATGCTGGGGTTGGTTCTGCAACGTCCTGTAAATGATTTTTTAAAGCTCTGTGGTCAACCGTACTTGTGAAGGTTCTTTTTCTTCTTCGCTTTCACTGGCTATAAACTCCGGTGGAAAGTTCTGTCTCTTCATCCACTTCTGGATTGTAGTCGTGTTCAAGAACTTTAGTTTTGCATGTACATCCGTTTTACAGATATGGCTTACTTGTAAGCGAACTGTTGGTTTCTTGCCTCTCGTGCAGATGATACTGTCTTGGAATGAGAAACCCTAATTAGTCGATTTTTACTACATGCTGTTTGGGAGACGCAATGGGTCTGTTATAATTTCCCCCAAAAATTGTACAAGTACCCATAGGGAGAGCTGCTGAAGATAAGGACAGAGTGTTTATGACAGTGTCCCGAATGATGTGATGTTAGTTCTTAGTTCAACTCCAGTTAAATACAGTAGAAAATGTAAGCCACCAGATCCAACTACTCGTGGAGAAGTATGGAAAGCGGTTGGCTGTTGACAGATCAGAGCAAATAAGTTATTACCCTACTCCTTAGAACAGGACACAATCGATTTCACAGCCATGTGTACACAAACTTTAAGACTGGCAAATCAGCCATGTGCACACGTGGATTGGCACCTGAGACAACAGATCACGTCCTCCGAGACGTAAATAAAATTTATCACGGCAAAACGTTTGGCCGAGAGAGACACCAGTGCAACCGGAAACTAGAGGCGGCCGGCGTGATGCTGACCACATCACCCATCTTGTGACGATTGGTCTGCAAAATTTAGGTCTAGCCCTATATGCCCTTTACGCCTAAAGGCGTGGACAAGGTTCCTTTACTTTTTTTTCCAACCTTTTTTACTTATTGCTTCTGTAACACACATCCCTCACATTCAAGTATTGTTTCTGCTTGTAACACACATCCCTCACATTCAAGTATTGTTTCTGCTTGTAACACACATCCTTCACATTCAAGTATTGTTTCTAGGAACATACATTCCTCACATTTAAGTATTGTTCCTGGAACATGCATCCCTCAAATTCATGTATTGTTCCTGGAACATACATCCCTCATATTCAAGTATTGTTCTTTGAACATACATCCCTCACATTCAAGTATTGATCCAGGAACATAAATTCCTCATATTCAAGTATTGTTCCCGGAACATACATCCCTCATATTCAAGTATTGTTCTTTGAACATACATCCCTCACATTCAAGTATTGATCCAGGAACATAAATTCCTCATATTCAAGTATTGTTCCCGGAACATACATCCCTCACATTCAGTATTATTTCTGGAACATACATCCCTCACATTTAAGTATAGTTCCTGGAACATACATTCCTCCCATTCAAATATTGTTCCTGGGACATACATCCCTCACATTCATGTATTGATCCTGGAACATACATCCCTCACATTCATGTATTTTTCCTGGAACATACATTCCTCACATTCAAGTATTGTTCCCGGAACATACATTCCTCACATAGGGTGATGCGTGGTCTCGAGGTATGGTGTCCGCCTCGAATGCTAGAGGTTCCAGGTTCAATTACCAGTAAGGAGTAGGATATTTTCAGGCATACTTGGACTTCTATTAATCCTCCCTGGTCTCTGGGTAGTGAGATCTGACGCCTGTGTGCATTGTTTGCGCACGTAAAAAATCCCTTGGCAGCTGGAAATCGAAGAGATATAACGGCGCTGCCCCGGCAACATTTTGAGTTTAAAATCTGCCTAAATTGTTTTAGGATCCTCGCCGGTGCTACAGAACCTGTGCACTGTGCTGAGCTTCTTCGGACTCAGAAGAAGAACGCAGCACTTATGGGTTACTACCAGTGTGCCATGATGTTGATCTGTTGTTCAAAAC